GACAGAGTGATCTCAACAGCCAACGTATGCAAAACAGAAGGCAGACTAGGAGACCTGAACAAAAGGCACTGTATTTGAATGTGAAACACAGTGGCGTCGCACGGTGCGTTGAACGACCAAGGTGGAAGTGTGTGGGTCTAACGCGCGTCAACGTTCAGTAAAACAAAAAGAAGCATGACGTAAAACACGAGTGACGAAACGGAGTCACTACAAATTGCTTCAAACGTGAACGAATTTTACAGATTTCACAATTTCTTCTTATACTTTCGATTTACAAACTTTATATGAAGGCTATGTTTTGGCACTGATTTAAATGTGTAACCTTGAGACTGTGTCTTTTGGCTCCAGAATGCTGTTATTGTAGCATTATTTTCACTTTCCAACACCATTCCCCTGATTCACGTAAAGACCCCATTTTGTTTTATTGCCCTCTGTTTTGAGATCACACATGACCTCGAACATGACACAATTTCCGGTGAGTTGTATCGTGCGCTTGGTTCTCTGTACATTTTCCACTGCAGCTCAGTTCAGTTCAGTTTTCACAGGACGAATTGTGGCTTTTGCCAATCGCGCATCCAGTTCCTTGTGTTGTCGACGGTTTTGTTGGCTTTCAACACTTTGAGTCAATGGTGTTTTCTGAAAGGCAGAATGTTAGTGTGCAGTATCAGATCCCTTACAACGTTTCGGAAAGTAAAGCCTAAAGATTAACTTTCAACTTCGAGAAATGCCACTGTCCACCATTCATCTAGCCTTCTCTTGAAATATTCGACAGTAATACAGTTAACCACTGCTTCAGGCTGACACTTACCTAGATTCAGTGGTAGATCCCACTTAACCGACCACCTTCGAACTGCATCTAGATCAGGTCACATTACATTCTGACACTCGTACTCGACCTTGTTCTCAATTTGTTGCCTGGTTGAAAAACCTCTGGATAAGGCCGCTTGGTTGATTCGGTGAACGCATTGTTGTCAAAAACGTTTAAGGTGCTAAAATTGGTGAGCCCGAGTTCATTAAACCTGTTTCCTTTTAGCACACCACGGACTGCACGTTTACGGTGAGACTGGTGCTGAAGCTAACAGGAGTTGA